CCATAGGGCAAAAACGGTGAAGGCATTCCTTGGAGAAAGAGACATTCAGTCGATGTCATGACCTGCAAACAGTCCAGATCTCAACCCAATTGAAAACCTGTGGTGGAAATTGAAAATAAAAATGGTCCACAAGAAGGCTCTGACCTGCAAAGCTGGTCTGGTAACTGCTATCAAAGAGAGTTGGCACCAAATTGATGAAAAATACTGTTTGTTACTCATCAAGTCCATGCCTCAGAGACTGCAAGCCGTTATAAAAGCCAAAGGTGGTGCAACTAAATACTAGTGATGTATTTTGAATGGTGTTTTGTTTATCTGTTTTTTATGATTCTATACTTTCTTCCTCAGAATTGAGTGATTCCATATTTTTTTCCCTGTGCTTGGTCAATAAAAGTAACATTCACTGACTTCCACAATGTTTTCCCTTCATTTCTTTGAGTGTTCCTGAAAGCCAACAAGTTGCACTTTGGAATGACCTTATTATTGTATCATGTTTTTGATCTGATTTTGTTTTACAGAATGAAATGTGTGAATGAGTGCTCATCCAAGACTGGTGATTCCATACTTTTCACCAGAAGTTGTACAATCTCATATGAGTATACTGTACAGTTGAATGAATTTGTGTTAGACGTTTTCATGTTAATGTGTCCTGAGTCACACTGTGTTTAACTCAACACTGGACGTTACCCAGCTCTGCCTCGTGCTGTAAAATCAGCTTCACGCCTCGGCACTGACGGTCTCTCTGTGTTTCCAGCTGTTGCCTTGATCAGCAAATATGTAACAAAAGGGTGGAAGGAGGTCCAGACCGCGTACTCGGACAAAGAGAACTCGGACGAAGTGGTCAAAGTGCTTTCATATTTGGAAGTGGTGGAGAAYGTCAGACACAGCTGTGATGAAACGGAAGTTAGCAATTTAATAGAAGAACACAAACTGGAGAGAGAGCAGCTGCTAACAAATCATCTGAAGTCCAAACAGGTAAGTGTTGGTTCCCCGTAAAATCTTCTTGTATAAATGGTTTGCATACAGAGAAATCACTGTTATCAGAAATAACAACATAACAATATACAGTAGCTTGCTTCTATTTAGAACCATACTGTGACTGAACCTCTCTGTGATTCAATAAATCAATGTTTTTCCACCCTGGTCCTCAAGGTAGTGATGAGACATCTGAAGCAAGCAGGGCTCTAGAGTGCGACCAGATTTCCTAATAGTGCGACTAAAAAAATGTCCGGTCGCACAGGTACGACCGAGTGGGAGGAGGAGCGGTCGCCTGCTGAAACTAAAAGTTTTCATCATGTTCCATAAAAATAATCCAGCKGTATCAATGGTTCCCCGCCGACAGTCTCATTTCTCCTAATAACACTGCGCTCTACTCGAGGGCTCKGCTCCACACCTCCCTCGCACACACGTTTGTTGTTCTATCTTCATGGGGACTTTGCATTGGCTTCTATTCATTTTCCCGTCAATTCTATAGCCAAACATAACCTCCTAGGTAGACTACACACCTGACCCAACACGAACCTCACCAGGCTGTGTGTACCGGGGAAATGGTCAATAATTGTACCCACCATGAAGCAAATATCTGTACACGCGCACACACACACACGCACGTGCGCGCACGCACAGCGAAACAACCGGAGTTTTTTTTATTTATTTTTTACCCAGATTGGAGTCTGAAAAACATTTCTTTCTTGTTAGCTGGAGATGAAAACAAGATGTGGAC